TGTCGCTTTGTGGATATCTTTGTGCCTGAACACACTGCCTCCAATCACCAAATCGTTGAATGCGCAGAATTCTGCAAACAATTCTCCATTCTCATTCATTTCACCTAGCGCCTCTCGACCCATGGTTAGTTCTCTTCCCGTGTTGTCCCCTCCCAGTTTGGCATTCATGTCGCCCATTAGAATTTTGATATCGCCAACTGACGTCTTGTCCAGTGTTGATTGAAGTTGTCTGTAGAAATCCTCCTTTTTCTCTTGCTCTGCATTATTTGTAGGTGCATAACATTGTATGATTGTGACCTTCCTTCCTTTTGAGTTGAATCTTGCTGTCATGATCCTGGAAGAGATTGGTTCCCACTGCATGAGAGCCTTCGATGCTCTTGAGGACATCATGATAGCCACTCCCTCAGTGTGCTCGTGGTTGGCGTCTGGGTGACCGGAGTAGATTATTGATTCTCCAGTTGACAGTTTGGAGAGTCCACTCCCATTCCATCTGCTTTCGCAAATCCCAAGCACTTCGATGTTATACCTTCTCATCTCGTTTGCAATCTGGGCTGCCTTACTGGGTTCAAACATCGTGCGGACATTCCATGTCCCCACGTTTACTTTCGCTTTCATCGAGAGAAGACACATCGGCCAATTGGCTTCCCGAAGGCTTTCACCAACTGGCGTCATTTCGCCTCTCCGATTCCAGCGGGGAATAAGTTTGTTTTCATTTTTTATATTTTGTTTGTGCTTTGAAGTTTCTTTAGCGGTTAGATTTGTTTTACGGGGTAGGGTTGCTAGCCCTATGCCCAACCTTCCCTCTTTACCCGGGCTTAGGACCGGCTAGTAACTAGTAAACTAGTTAACCAGGCGAGGTTACTTACTGCGTATTCTGTTTTGATTCCAAGTTTTTCTTGATAAATCTGGATTGGTATCCATTTGTTTGAGAATTTTCAGTAGTTTGTCTAATTCATCGTCAATAATATCACTCATGCAGATATTTCTGATTCTTGATGACAAAAATGAATCAGATTCCTTTTCTGCTGAGAGGCACCTTAATGTGTGTCTATAAACTTAATTTATTCTGTGGAGCTAGTTATATAGGCCACATGAAGCGTATAAGTGAAAAACTTGGGCACTGTGGTAGAATGTAATTACATATTAGATTTGTTTATTTGATATAAAGCGCACAGTGATACAGTATTATTTACTTGATTACGTTTCGACATAAATTATTGCTCATAATCATATCAATGTAATCACACTTCTTTCGATATCTGATTTTATAGTCCTGTCACCTGATCTCTCTTTGTTTTTTGATAGGTAGTTGAGTTTTCCATATCTCTGGTATAGGTGTTGCGTCATTCCTATTACATGTGTTGGGTGTGGATCCGATGAACAAAGATTCGGTAATTAATCTCTCTCTTCAAAATAATATAATCTACCAACTTCCATGTAATGACTGTGAGGTCAAATACATAGGTCAAACTAGCCGGTCGGGGTCAGTTAGATTAACAGAACATAGGAATTTAGCTAAACATAGAACGGCAGACCCCAATAAGATCAATAACCTAGAAAAACACTCGGCCATTGCATTACATTCATTAACACACAACCACACAATAGGGTGGGACAAAACCACTGTTCTTAAGTCTAATATAGCTAGGTGGAGAGAGAGATTAATTACTGAATCTTTGTTCATCGAATCCACACCCAACACATGTAATAGGAATGACGCAACACCTATACCAGAGATATGGAAAACTCAACTACCTATCAAAAAACAAAGAGAGATCAGGTGACAGGACTATAAAATCAGATATCGAAAGAAGTGTGATTACATTGATATGATTATGAGCAATAATTTATGTCGAAACGTAATCAAGTAAATAATACTGTATCACTGTGCGCTTTATATCAAATAAACAAATCTAATATGGAATCACATGAAGCGTACATTTTCCAAACATATCTTTGAGGACTATCCTGCATGGTTGTCGAGAGGAGGATGTAAATCAGCTAACAGTTCAATTCTTGAACATTCGGTTCACTCTGGACATATACCTCCGCCAGAGTACTCCTTCAGTGCGATTTATTTAGTCAAAGGGGATAGTTCGAAAAGGGGACCTTTCGACAATTGTACACGGCAGAGGCGCAGGCAGTTCGTCAATTCAACCCTTATCTCTCTCTCTGTGCAGAAGAGGTAAGTAAGTTCAATCTCTTATCTCACCATGGTCTTAACACCACAACTTTCCGATTCATTATGACCCCTATTTCCTTCTTCACCTTCTTTACATCTATCAGGTATACAATCAACCTTCGCAATTCACGTCTACCAGCAATTTTCACCTTGTCACACTCCCTACCTTTCTTACGAATTCTATTGTCTAAAAGATTATTATGCAACTCATTTCCATTCCTCAAATCAGTTTAATGATGAAATTATCTCTATTATTCATTTAACAGAAGGCTATATGTTTGTGATAATTACAAATACGACTGTACAGCTTTAAAACTTATATGGTCGAAAAAGAAAATTTTTTTCCCTGAATTATCTATACTTTTCTTTATGATTTAAACCCAGGTAGAAAACCTATACCTCCGGCTGTGGAATATCGCAGTACAGTGTGAGAGTATGCTGTTTCCAGTCTTGTTGTTTTCTTACCAAGATTCACAATAAAGAGGATGACATCAGCGTGGTACTGCTGTCATCCGCTGGAAATGCCTTGTTGCTTTCAAACGTCACAGATAAACGAATTAACAAAAAGGACACAGAACCTTGCACAGACGTGCATCAGTTCAAAGTGCCACACTTGACAGCAAGCGGCACACAAATAAGAAGTCGGTACAGAAACAACAACATTAAAGCAGACACTAGTGTATGAAAGGAGGAGAAAGAATTTCAAGATGACGCTCAACAAATATTTTCGAACTCCGAAGACGTTGAAGAGTGATGTGGATACATTCGTACCATAGTTATCGATTAACAGCCATACTAGCAGAGGTCTGTCTGCAACCATTGATTCTTATCACCTCCAGGTCTGCAGCCAAGAGGTCTACATTTCCCTTCCTACATGGCTCAGACTAACGGTCAGAGACTTCATCGACTAGCGTTACGTCTTGGTTTGACTACACCTAGTCTTCTTCCAATTCTAATCCTGCTTCAAATAATACTGAGCGTTGTGGCAAGCGGTGACTCATCACACGGGACGTCTGCCCTGGCCACCTCAGAGTCACTACTTTATCGACTGATTTGCCTCTCCTACCCAATACCCATTGCCTAACCTCGACATCGCTAAAACGATAATCCCCACTATAGGGGAGAAATGCTGCAGAGATAGATACCAGTGGTCAGAAACTTGTAATCTCTTGAGAGCATACTTTTTTGTGACGATCACTGTTATCCGTTTTTAGGAAGCGGTAGATCCTGAAAGTGCTATCTCAGTGTCGTTAGGCAAAGCCTGTGAGCTGTAGTATCCTCCCACGACTACTTCATCCGACTACTCGGCTTTCAGTAGCAGCCTACACAGTTTTTGGTAGAGCTCTTGCTTCACGTGATACGACTAACATTCAGTGGTTGCGTGGGCAGAGTTTACAAAGTCACAGTGCCAAGTTGTACTATCTTGTCTGGTCTACATAACATCATTGAATCGAACGGCTTACAGGTAACTGTCACCTAGAATCAAATCGACCAGTAAACTCACTGTTTTAGCACTTAATTTTATACATCGACTCTGAAATCCAACTAGTCAGCAACTTTCTGCATATTAGCGCATTACGCAACGAGCCCCACCTACCATGAGTTCTAGTGATACTACCTAGCTGTCCGGACCTCAGTAAGTGTTCCAACCTGTGACCAACTGGTTGAAAGTCAACTGTCTTACAAGAATGACTCATAGCTCCACAACGGTACACCATTCAGGTGTAGGCATAGCATCACACATCACACCAATACCTAAAACATCAAGCGAAATAGCCATCAAATCTCAAGAAACTCGAAAACTGCATTTCGCAGATTCATTGGGAAGATTGCTTGAGGTTAGGTGGAGAGGGTCGCGTGGATGTTGTATTCGTATCTTACTAGCACAGCACACATTCATGGCCCGAGATGACAGGGTTTTGGATTACGACGCATATTCTCCAATTTGATGGAGTGTGCATATTGAAAACTCTGATGTGCAGTTCGCAACACAGTGTCAAGGGACTTGGGATGCTGTTCCGTGAGCTCGAGTCTTTTTGAAGGCTGCTACGCAGGAAGAGAACAAAGATGACATAGGATTACTGACAAAGAAACGGAAAAACAATAGAATCCCGTGGACCATACTGATGGCCTTCCGCAAGTAAATTACGTAAAGAAAAATTCATCCCTGAACACCAACAAACTGATACTTCCAGGGTCTCCGGTGTGGCTAATCTCCTTCAGAGTGTTCAAAAATTAGCATACAACTTAACCTCTTAAAGTAAACCACACAGTATTCGACTTGAGGTGAGTCAGTTGGTCAATAATGTGGGCAGGTAAGCCTGTTGAACATCAAGTTGCTGTCATGGACTTGAATCCACTTAAGAAGTGAAATTTCTTCCATCTGAGTAATAACTGACTACACAATGGACCAGATCCATGGGAAAACTCTCAGGTGTTCCATCAGTGCTACACGGGATCATAAGGGTTACGACAGCTCTACATTGTCTGAGAATCCTAAAGCCAAAGCTGCCTCACCACAAAAATCATTTCACTGATAGATTTCTGCACGAAAGCCATATTATCATGACTTGTGCGGCACAAAGATTAACTAGTTTCATCCGAAAAATAAATACAAGACCATTAAATGCTTTAGATGTGAGGAATGTTGGAATGATGAAGCAATTTCCAAAGTGAATTTATACTACTTTTCACTAGTTAGTAGGACAATGAAATATCACTGAGAAATAAGATGATCGACCCACAGCACTTATTACCGATGTAATCTATTCTAGTTCATTGCGGTACTAACTCACCAGTAAAAAGTCGAAATGTGAATCAACATTTTTATTTCTGTACAGTGTGTTTTATCACGAATTCAAAGCAGAAATTGCAGGTCATTGCTAAATTGGATCGTAGATATATCCGATCAACGCCAGCGACGCGGAGGTGGTTGAACACGTATTCGTGGTTGAGCTCTGCGTTTCATCTCTTGATATTCTCTCATCTTACTGAGATAAGGTTCTGGAAGCCTGCTGAATGGTCCACCAAAATCTGGCATTGTCTCCTTGATCTCATCAACAAGAGTATGCTTATCTGTTAACTATCATATGAAAAGGAATCAATCAAAAGATTAAGCTTTTAACATTTTACTGAGTATAAGAAACATGTATGTGGTAATCATTGTATTGTACTTATCAAGCTGCTGTGTAGTAAACCTTATATTACTTAATTATGCTTTAGATAACCAAACGGGAAACTGCTTGGAGCACTTATCACTAGTCGATATTGGCTGCAAATCAGTCACATATTATAGCACACAACAGTGTCCATCGATCCATGGTTCCAAGATTTTCTCCAACTCATGTTAACTTTAAAATCAAAGTGAAGAAATTCTAATGAATATCAACCAGAACAAACACTGCCCCTTCATACTGAATAAAAAGGACTAACCTGTAAATAAATCAAATCTCTGGAAAAGAAAAATTAGTTAGTGCGATTGGCAGAAGTCTCAAGTGACTGGTGATTCTGTTAAAGATGAATTTGAAATACGGATAGTTCAATGATAACATTTTCACTAGTGTCCATGAGTGATGCAGGTCTAAATCTTACAGAAAGTGGGAAATTCAATGCAGTTACGAATATCCTCTTGACGAATATCAGCAATTACGAAATATCTAGGTTCAAAGTGTCCGAAAAGCCGCCAACAACAACAACCTAACACTGAACTCTGTGAAACTAGCAATAAACAAACAAACATGACTTCCTACTCAACTCCCTTCTCTGATAACCCTTCTGTGAAATAGATTTCTATCTAAGTTAAATGAATACGTTATGAAACACATTTGTGAAATATACATTACAATGCAGTGGAACAGATGCGTCAAGCGAATATCGAAGAATTAGTCATCTCTTCACATAGATAAGGCACTCAAAATAAAAATGCAATTCGTACAAAGGAGCACCTTTTTGCACGTCCAGTCGGCACGTAAATAGTGTATGCATGTACTGCATATTAATATAGAAGACAAGTTAAAAAGAACGAAATATGAACATACTTTGTAGAAAAATATATCATTTGGATGTGGACGTTTGGCAGTAAACAAACGTATTCTTCTTTTCTTCTGACCCAGTTTACCAGTAGTTTTTAATGCCTCCATTTCAGATTCACTGAGCACAGATTTAGATATATCACCATATTGCTCATCATAAGTGTTTCCAACTTTTTTAGAAGGAATTAAACGTTTATCTGACTTCGAAATAAGATAATTTCTTGGAGCCGAACCATCAGCAAGATAAGGACGAAGTGTTTCACTAGAAACTGTTTTATCCACAGGATGCAGCATAGCAGATGTTATGAGTGAAATGGCTTCTTCATTTACATGTAACCAGGAGTTGGATCTAGTAAAGAGTGGAGGAGAAACACCAAACATCAATCGCATACGTTGATTAGTTTATTCACCCTGATTCGTATTCCTGCTTATCATATTTCACTCTTATTAGTACGGAGAATGACATGGTGGTGATATTAATTAAAAGAACTTATTGCAGTGCAGTTGTGTGAACCTTCTTCATCATGTTTCTGACTTTTTTCCCAGGAAGTTTTTGAGAAGCGCGTATGTTGAATCCAGGGTTCTGAAGCAAAAAAGACATATATAATAGATCGACGTTATGAAAGTTCGCAGTATTTTATTGCAACCAATTCACCGCAGCTGTTTGGAGTTGACAGCTGTATGGTTTGGGATTCGTAGATTTGGTCTGAGTGTCTTGATGGCCATGGCTTCAGCTAAACTCAATAGACTTTTCTTTCGCCTGTTGAAGACTTGAACCATTTGAGGCTAGCTAGCAACACTGTTTCAAGTATCAATCAGGTGACGTGTTACCGCTTTGTTCTGTGTATGTGAACCACTTAACCTTAGATTGTCTGTGATATGCTCAGAAATTCTAATGAAAACCATTCTATCTGTTCTTGAGATGTACATACTTTGTCACGTACATATTAATTAGTATATTTAGTTGGGGGTTGGTAACACTAGGGGAATTAGTCCATATTCAGTTGCCACAACGAACAGTTTGTTTGGCATAAACAGATCAACTTGGTAACTTTATGGGTTCTGCTCAGTGTAGGATGTATTGGACGCTTGATCCTAGGAGTATTTTCATCTACTTTAAAGACGAGTTGCAAAAAGATAGGCTTCGTTCCTATTATGTTGCGCTCACTTTTCTTCATATGAGACGTATCTTACTTATCAGTGAAATCTTGTGGATAGTCATTATCCAGCAAACATTACTCAGGAATGAATAGATACAGCTCAAGTTTTCTGGTAGGTTTGAATGGCATTCAACTGCTCCTAATTTACTGATAATAGGACAGAAACTTACTAAACTGCCAAAGTTAATCGGTTTTAGATGCTCAACTTAATTTTCAGCTTAGAAACAAACGGACTGAAGACATCGAGAATAATGATAAAGGGCAAAGTAACATCTTAACAAAGTTTTGGCATAGACAGTGGTTTCAACAAATGAACAGATTTTGGTTAGTACATAGAAAGATACGTTAGATACGTTACATAGGACAAAACACTTTCAGACATGAGATGAACTACACGATTTTGACATGTTATAGGTACACATATCTATGATAATGTAAGTTTTAATTTTTTCTTGCGGTGGCTCAGAATAGACTTCCGTCCGGACAGTTGAAACATATTGTTTTATATACATTGGGATTTATACAGACAACATGTATCTTTCACACACCACTTAGCTTTTAAGCTTTGGATTCACAGACTACGTAGCCAAGTAGTGCCAGTTTTATCTGCTGTGCCTAAATTACAGTGTTAAAATAATGATTTACTGATTGCGTTTATCCAGTTTCAAATGAAAGTGAAATTCTCCCCCTCCAGCTTACTTAGAAATATCACATGATATTTGACCGTAGACGATTAAAAATGTTCTCCAGAAAGTAAAAGATTTCAGTCACTTTGAAGGTTACATCAATTTCGAATGACTGGAAGGATAAATGATGCCACATTAGCTCGTTAGCATTCATGCGTATTTCGCAGCAACTAGGAAATGTAAGTGGTGAAAAACATTTTATTTATAGTTGTATTACGATACTTTAGGAAGGTTCGGATGAATAACACGAAACTGGGCAGAGCAGTATACAGGCTTATTTTCATTTAGAATGGCTCAATGCCATAAACTTTAAAACTTTCAGCCAACCTCTGAATGTCAGAAATATTCCACCGGCCAGCAATACGGATTATGAAGATCCGGTTCACTTGTTTTATGACTTCTGAACATTATAAACAGTAGTTCTATTCGACTTCATTGAATGATCATACTTTACTAACTTGAGTTTTTACTACACAGTTTTTGGTATTGTGTTGATCAGTTAATACATAACAAACATTCTCAGATTTACCTCAGAAAATGCTGTTGAAACAATGGTTATGTTTGTTACTAAAATTGAATACGTTCACTTCTTTCCGGTCACTGACAATTACAATGTTTATTGTTTATTCAACTATCACTCATTTATCTGAACTTAAGTTTCCGTTCAAAAGTGTTCAACAGTACGTCTCAATAATTCACTTTCATTGGAATTAAGAAAACTGTTGAGGTTTCTGCATCTTATAAAAATAATATATAAGAAAATGTAATTAGACTCAGTGGCCGAGAATGCATTAAAGGTGTATGAATAGTTATATTTTACGGAAATGACCACATTTTTACCCACTTTCATGATATGAGCATCAAACATATTTAAAGCAGAAAAATTTCAACCATGTTCATATTACTATTGTGAAGGCTTATCTACTGAATGCGAAACAGTTAACATATTTATAAACGTTGAAACTGAAAAGACGGCTTTCTTTGGAGCTTAGGATACATCAAAGTAAAGTGTAGACAAATGACTAAATGAAGATAGGCAGACGGAAAACAAGTAAAACAGCATAATGATAAATAACTATGTGGGATGAAGAGGAGAGAAAAAGAAGAGAAACTATAAATCTCAACAGAGAATTTGTCACGTAGCTAAATATTGCTTTCCATTTTACTAATCATCTGCTTCTGGTTCAATGGATTTGCGAAGTTATCTATTCATTTCCTTGCCCATATATATATGCACAGAGCGAAGTTTACGTGCTAAGAATAATCTAGTAGTTGTTATCATTTCGATCCTGTCTGGTAAAGGATATTCAAAGCTTGATTTTCATCTTTTGTATGGTCAAGATTTTTAGAAAGTTTGTGTTCGATGCATCAGATATGGATGAATTGATGACAGAAAATAAAGTGCACAAAGAATTTTAGTATGAACTGTATGGTTATTTTGTATCTTTTTGAGTAGCCAATATCTGTCTGAGATTTATTTTCTGTCCACTTTATGAATTGTGAAATTTGGAAACTGATAATACTGTTGAATTGGTTACCATTTCTAACGTGATGGAGAAATGACCTATAAGAAGGGAAAGATGAAATGGGAAGTGTTTTGATGCGGCTTAAAAAAATAGTCACTGAACTAACGTAAATATTTTCCATAGCTCATAGTGCCTGAAATTATAATAGTGAGTTCAACTCGACAGGCCACAGCTGCAAATAAAAGTGGAAGTGGACAATCAATTTCTTACTACTCTCAAAGCGTTAACAAGTTAGTCAAATATTCATGGACCGGTTTTGACACCTGAACCCCGTGATCACTTATGGCCACTATACACTACGATCATAGTAATACAATTCCGCTTTCTGCATTTCAAGCTTGCATCGCTTAACTTTCCTAGAAGACGCGAGATAAAATGTACAATCTGCTGTCAGGCTTGATGGCTTTAGTGAAAGAACGCACTCCCTCCCTGGTATAAGCAGTTAAATAATTGCAGCTGGTTAATTACAGTAAATCCATCCTACCCTGTTTGTTGAGAGTTGAAGTCAAGGATGTAACAACTCAGCAACGTGATGATATCGTCAATATAGAAGCAGTGCATTGAATTCATGAACCATTTTTTAAAACTAAGCTAGTCTTTTCAAAAACTTATTTGTTATTTAGAAAAGATAAAACGCCCTATGAAACTATCTGTCGCTCAGTGCATTAAAGCAGTAATATTATTAAGATTTTCATTCCTACAACGTATGACTTGAACACACTTCCGGAATTGAAATAATTGCATAAGACTACAAATGAGGAATATCTCTAGATAAAAAAATGAGGTTTCGTGGTAAACAGCAACATTACTCAGGATTGAGATGTCCAGAATCAATATTCCTTCAAGCTACATTTCTAGCTAGAAGATTTTTGAAGTTCATGCTAGGAACCTCTACTAGAGGGCACTATATGATGGTAAGGATCCATTTGATTACAGATAAGTATTCATCACTAATACCTTTGTCCGAGTTCTACTTGATCGTTTGACTGCATGCTTGGTTAACTTTTAATGGAGGGGTGTTCAAGAATGTCACTGATTGACCTTTCTCGTTTGAATGAATATTATCAAAATCGATTCACTATAGTTAATTGTCTTTTCTTGTTTAAGTGAAATAGTTGATGCATTTTGTTCAGCTGATGTGATTTGGGTTGCTTCTACTTGAAGGGATATGATTCACGTTGATTGATTGATTCACTTTAACTGAAGTGGAGTTTGCACAAATTGTCTGATTGACCCTCGGATGCTGACTTAGCTTGTAGTAAATATTTTGAACCGACCAGCTGACGTTCTTCAATTAAGCTGAGGTAAGGGTTTCATGAATTCAGATTGTATTTCCTGTTATGAATTTACTTCAAATAGGTTTAAATATTAAACTTAAGTAGAAATGACTTTTCACCACCATTTGGCATGAGCGTCAGTTCTCCGAAAACTCTCTACACGTTTTTCTAGCTAAATAGTGGTGGCGATTGCTACAAAAGAACAAAATTATGTTGACATACGACGAAAAATAACATGACGTGATAGTTATTTGCCTCTAGGACTATTAAAGAAGTTATGTTGTTTTCTCGTATTTAGAAAAATAAATTTTTAGCCGTATTGTTTTCTAGTGAATGAGCTATCACTCTAAAAAACTCAATATTCACTTACAAATTTCATCATGAGTACTCAATAGTAAGAAAACTAAATTTTATTCAGCTGAAGGATATAACACCATAATGCATCAGTGTTTGTCACTCCAGCCTATTCATGACTGAAGCTTGGCAGCTTATTCTTCAGAAATTCAAACAATGTTGGGTGTTTGCAAGTTCACATCGTGCTACAATTAAAGTTTTCCTTAAGCTCAAACTGTTGTTCCCTCATATTGCAAATAATAGGTTACCATGTGACTAACTATTTTTCAAGAAAATAAGTTGATCAGATAATTGCTCTGATAACTCAGTTACTTAAAAAATATATTTCTGTGGTTGTTTTATCAGA